AGAGATGGCAGGTAGAGGAAACCGGAGCAATTTGGCACTGCAGGTGATTTGGCTGGGTGTAGTTGGGGTGATTGAATACAGTACTTTTAGGTGTCATGGTCGGTCTCTCTGTCACAGCTTGCTAGACTGTAAAACACTGATTTGTTATCTGGTCGAAATTCAGTGATATTACTTGAATACATTTACGTAGCAATTCTTTTAAGTGCACTTGACCATCTCTTTAGGCATAATGGTTTTATGAGTGTAGTTTTTGGTAACTTGTATCTCAAATTTTGCACATTATCTGAATTTATATTCATAATTCAATTAAATATTCCAAGTGAACATTTTCCCTCTCGATTACTCACTAACAGTGTTTGGTCTAGTAAGGTACTGTTCTGAAGTGCTTTTTCTAGTACAGATGCTGTTTTGACTGCACATAATTTAATCATCACCAGAAGCTGCATCATCATGTATGCTGTGAGCAATCTTTCTTTATCATTTTTTTTTCTTTATGCATATTCAAGTTTGTTTTTTTTTTTAATATTCCAAATGAGATTAAAGGTGAAAATAAAAAAGTGCAATTTTTCATTTCAGATATTCACAGAACATTCACCATGGCTAAATAGGAGAGCCAAACCTCTTCACCACACACTGAGTCTCCCAGTGCTGTACAACCCTACTGATGCCATATACACACACTCCCCAGTGCTTCTGAATGCCACCATAAACTATCACACCAGCAGTATGAGTCGCAAGGGTGTGGGATCTAGTGTCCAGAAAGGAGGGACAGCCTCTGACCAGTCTGAGACACCACTGGACAAGAGTATCCTCAAAGTCCACCTTCCCAATGGAGGGTTCAATATGGTCAAATGTGGAGATGCTACAGATATAAAGGTATGGAAATAATATATGTATGTATGTATGTATGTATGTATGTATGCTCTTGTTAAAATATTATTTTATTCACATTGTTGTCAATACTTGTTAAAGTGTAAAGTTTTTTTAGTAAGTGTGTGTGCAGTGGCACATGTGTGCATGCCCACAAAGGTGTGAAAGATCTATTTTGAAGGAGTGAAAGGTATATATTGCAGTCAGATTTTCAAGTATCTTAAAACTGTAAAGGGGACTTTCTCAGTGTTTCACAAGCCAAAGATATAATATAGCCTGTTGATGTAAGATATGCAGGGTGACAAACAACAACCATGCTTACATGTTGTTTGTACAGGTATGCTTGAGTTACCAAACTATGACTATTCTATGATTCATGTGACCTCAACTCAGCATTATTATGAGTTGTCTGTAAAATAAGAGGAAAACTGACTCTATGTAATGTGGTATGCATCATGAGGTAAGGTGTGTATCAGTTACCAGATTCACACTGATAGGAAGACCTGGTTCTGTCCCACCAGTTATGGTACAACAACCCTAGCCACAGTTAGATACAGAGCTATCTCTTAATGTTACTAGGATGTGTTACCCATTACTAATGCTTATATTCATTATTTAGAATAAGTTGATGAAGATAGAATGAAAAAGAAATTCCTTTTTTTTTGTGGGGGAGAGGAGAGAGGACCTTTTTATTTTGACAAAATCACTTGAATTATTTTCTTTTTTTTTTTTGTGTAGATTCATATCATATTAAACATTGTTTTCTAGTATTCTGGCATTNAGGTTGTTTTACTAGATCGGTTGTGTGTATGTCGTATGAAGACATTGAACTTGCATTTGAAAATTTTCATGTTTTGAGTTGTCGACTTGTCGCTCGTTTAAAATTGTGCCCAACTGTTGAATCACTAAATCTACTGATCGTCTGATGTGATGACGGTGTTGTCACTAGTAATAGTATAAACGATAGTTTTACTAGATCTATGACATGGTTTAAACGTACATCAACAGAATTAAATGCTGAATTAGAGATCAGTAACGTTCTCACTCAGTCACTGGTGTGTGTGTGTGTGTGTCACTGAGTGTGTGTGTGTGTGTGTGTGTTACTGTATTATAGTGTATACTGTCAATCAAACTATTCCTACATGTATAGGCCTAGCCTACGTGTGCGTTAAGATTTTTCTTCGAAAAATCTTTCAGACTTTTTTATCAAAACCAAATCTCATGCCTGAGTATGTATAGTGCTTACATTTTGGAGCAGTAATTACATTTTTATATATTGATGAGATAAGCATATTTAAAACTTTGTTATGCACTGAATAACTAAACATGTTATTCCCTGTGTTTTCTTCTTATGTGGCTATAGTGAGCATAGGTAAGAGAAATAAATGTTGATTTTGTCATACAATTACTTGTACTTACTAGTAAGATATTTAGTTGACTGTCAGATGTTATTATTAATAAAAACTGCACCACGTGGTTATGGATATCCATGCAGTGCAAATGATTGTAATACCTATCATCAGTGACTAAGGTTTGTGTGTAATTCTCGTTAAGGATCTTAAACGCATAGGGTTGAGATATTGGTGAAAAATACTTCATGAAAATCCATGCTGATAATCAATCAAAAGACTTTTAATAGTATTCATAAAGCTTGATGCCTATGCATTTTGATATACTTCAACTTTCTTGTTTGATATACTTTCAACGTTTCTTGTCATGTTGTCATGCCTTTAATATCTTCCTCCCATTTAAATTTCAGGGTATAGTGCATCTTTTGGTAGGTCGTCTGGCAGCAGGACAGAGGTACTTTGAGGCTTGCTATGCCCTGTACCTGCGCCACCTTCAGACAGACAAGGGGTTCTGGCTCCACAGTGATCTGACTATGTACCAGGTCAGACAGAAGTATGAATCCAAGTACCCAGCAGATGAATGGAGGTGAGGAATCTGATACCCCGTTCACACTACAGTCATTTATTCGAATAAATAGCAAATTAGGTCCCAATTCAAAGAATTGTAGTAGTCTGAACGCGTGAGGATTTTTGTTAACAGGATTTTCAAAATCCTGGTAGCGAGCTGGATTTTCTTCAGCAATTCGAATAACTTAACAGAATCGACACCTGTACAGATCTTACTGTGCATGTGTAGCGAGCTGGATTTTCTTCATCAATTCGAATAACTTAACAGAATCGACACCGGTACAGATCTTACTGCGCATGTGTGCAGATAAGTGCGGGTATCTATGAATGCTTGTTTATTACTTTAGCGATTACACCAAACGTATTTGGAGGTCACTACTCACTACAACATGAGGAAACATAAACTTATTTTCAGGGATGCTAGTCTTCCGGTTTTTACCAGAATTCCGGTTTTTTGCGTCCAGTTATAAAATTTTCTGGTACTATATTTTGTTTCGGAATTCTCGTTTTTAACGTGGCCGCGGACTGGACGAACGATGCGTCAGAGGAACGTCGCATTTCAACCATTGCGACAGAGCTGCGTTTCAACACAATATCTAGTCACAACCGTAGCACGTGATTTATTTATGGCGCTTGATTGGTTGGAAATGTAGGCTTTAATGTCGGCACCCATGTGGAAAGTTTTGACACCGCGTGCGCGGAATTTTGAACTAAACCAAACTAAATGGATTTCGCGGAGAGGGGAACAGACGATATTAGAAACATCGACATTACTGTCAAAAATAGATTTAGTTGGAGTTGGCTGGAGGAAAAGGACAATAATGACGATTTTTTTTCTACCTATGTTCGGAAGCGAAAGTCCCCCGGAGAAGCTTGGTGTGTATGGTGCAACGACGTGATCCGGTACGGAAGCAGTGGTAAAAAAGCTCTGAAAAACCATGCTAAAACAACTAAGCATGCCAAAGCACGTAGTTGTTGCTTACGTGAGGGATCATTACTGTCTACTATGGGTGGTAGGTGTTTATGTACTGATGGCACTTCCATCTTGTCAATGTCAAGATTATCCTTGGAAACAACTGTTGAAAATTACCATGAAGTTGTGATGACATATATTGCAATATATTTATTAAATAAAATTTGAAATATAGTAATTGTTTCATAATCAATTTGTACCCCCCCCCCGGTCTTTGCCAAAAAAAAGTTCAGGTTTTCTTTCCGGACCCCACTAGCATCCCTGTTATTTTGCCATCGTATACTTCCCAAGAATGCTGGAATGTCTTCTGAGTTGAAATTTTCAACGTGGGATTAGGTTTCGCTTCGCGAGTGTGAACGCAATACCGAATTGAATTCCTCACGAAAAATTCGAATTATAGAAATGCGCATTTTTGCAACTGTAGTGTGAATGGGGTATGAATAAGTTGTCTTACATGAAAAGTTTTGATATCAGAATCATATAACTACTAACTACTCATTACTGGTGAAATTTTAATAACCAAAGGGGCATTAAATTTTCCTGGAAGTTACAAGAAATGCCAATATAATGATATTAGAGCTTGAGTGGAAAACCTACCTAAAACAAAAGACTTTAAAATTGCTGGCCATATGCATTGTAATAAACAATAAATATGAATGATATATGAACCAGTGAAAAATGCCTTCCCAATCAACAGCAGTTACTCTGTTTTTGTTTTGTATACTGACAAGCTGTTGGGATGAGATGAAAAAGAAAAGCCAGGCTCTGTTCAATTTTGTTTGAAGCTGTAGGCTACATGCTTACAACAGTATGAGTAATGTTGCAGTGTTCAAACATGGAATTACATTATGCTGTTCAAACTGTCTACACTGCATTGAGGCAATTACAGACCTTGCTTATTGCAGAGAAAAGTTCTGCAAATTAAACGTAATTTGATTAACAGTTTAGTCGTGTTCCCTTTATTCTGTCACTAGATATTGACTAAGTATTTGAAAATGCATTCATTATATTATCAGAACTTGAAGAATAATTGTGTTCCTCTCGGAACTAATCAAACACTGACAGTTGTCACTTACTTGTCGTCGGGACTGAAGTCAAAGACAAGTGAGAATCAGTTTTTGATGTGTGAAGTATAAATACATATACCCCCTAATGTTTGCTTAGTGTTTAAGAGTGAATATATGGTTTATAATAATGCGTAATTTTTTTTCAGGTATGAACTAAGGGTCCGATATCTTCCCAAAAGCTTTCAAGAACTACAGATCAGAGACAAAGTGACATTCTATTACCTATATGACCAGGTATGTATGCATTTTGTGTGACCTGTTTATCTTGAATGGTGTTTATATCAGCAGTTGTCAATTCCATGTCTTGGATGTTGAAGATCTTTCTTTTTCTGCATGAAGCTGTGGTTGAATATTTCTCTTTGGGGTCAAATCTCATAATGTCATTGTTTGGTCTACTATTGTGACTTAGACCTCCTACCTCATTTGATTAGTTAATAAGAGGAATGATATTAATTAGAATCAGAATCTGTAGTTTATGTGAAGGCCTGTTTTGATGTATTGATCCTCTGAGATTCAGATGCTGAATATAAAGCCTGTATTTAAAGATCTATCATCAGTGTCAGATTGGATAAGAAGAAAAGTGTAAATATTACCAAGTATTTTGCACGTATTTATAGAGTATTCAGCCCATAGAGCACATGCAAATTGCAAATGTAATGTATTATGCAATGATTGTGCTGTATTTCAAGATATTATGATTTTTTTTTCTTTTTTTGCTGTATCTGTGGCAGTATGATTTATCCAAAGCAAGTCGTGATAAGCATGTGAAATGTCTCTGTTATGTCTTCAGTAGTCATGGGATTACTTATGATATCGCACAACAAGTTTAGTAGGATTTGTTTCAGAAGCTCATGTGATTATTTTTTAATTTTCCTTACAATCATATTTTCTCTGGGGATAGACATCATTACGTGATTGTAAAATTGCTTATTTAACCAGGATAAGGAGTTTGTGAGAAAATAATGAAGAGAAGCTGAGAAAATAGAGATAAGGTGTGAAGTAAACCCTAAGTGATGCATGTAGTGAGACAGATCTTCATATTAGATGATGGATGGAATGGATCTAGGGAAAGATCTGCAGGGAAATATCATTAGCTCTTCTAGACTTACACAATATATTAGATTATATTGCCAACTTGTTATTAGAACATCTTCATGAGTGATTAATCAACATTTTATGTTTAGATATGCTTTTTTGTGCCAGTAGATTTTTAAAAATAATGCTGATAGTTATGACTATTGAATAAATGAGACAGATTAATCCAACAGCCTTTTATCAGATAGAACAGAACTGTACTTTGTGACCAAAGCAAGGAGTTAACATTGAGTGGAAATAAGGCATAAAAAAGGCATGTGGCAAAGCATTTGATTTATTGCCTCTTTTAGATCTGATTTTTTTAGTTTTCTAATAGAGCTCCAGACTATTGATTCTTATTCTAATGGGCCATTTGTATAAAGAGCCATGAGAGAGAATCTTTATCTTTCTTTTATGTGAATGAACCTGGTAGAGAAATTGCTCTCCCAAAACAACCCCAAATTCAGCTTCTCATGAAATGAATCTGTCTCATCCTTGGTGGTGAATTCGCTCACGGCTATTTGCAATCTTAGATCAATACCCCAGAGATCTGTATGAATGAAGAGATGTACAGTGCAGGGGATGGCCTTGCTTTGATCGCAGTTGTTACTTATGGCTATATGCTGGCAGCCTGCAAGCTTTTAGACTAATAGCAGATTGTCTGGACTGCATAATAACCTTAGTGAGATCACAGGCAGTTAGTTTGGCTCCATTTCTAAAAAAAATCCTGTTATTTTGGTTCTGTCTTTCTTTGACAGTTGGACATTTCCCAATATAGGTTTTCACATCTGGGGGTATTTTCAGCATTCAAGTCTTAAATTTTTTAGGGTAAAAGATCTGAAAGATCTGTGGAGTGGAAAGTATAGTATATAGGGAGTCATTTCTGATTTTAACCTCTAGAAAGGAAAATTTTGCTTTTTTCACAATCATTTTGTGTAGAGCAATACATTATTAGAGTTACTTTACAACAGTTTCCACTTCCGTCAGCCACTTATTGTGCATTAGTGAAGTGCATTTAACCAGAACATGAGGGCTCCATTTACTTTAATTCTCTTTTGAACATTTGATTCTGAGATGCATTGTGCAAGTAAATGAAGGCTGAAAAATTAAACGGCTTATAAATTATAGGACAGAAAGTTTTTTTCATCTAGGTTGAAGGAAATAAAGAGTTAAACCTTTCAGCAAACTTTATCAAAAGGAGGGTTATTTCATTTATGACAAATTGACAATTATATGAATGTATATGTAGATTGCAGAATATATTCAGAATTTTCATCAAAGGTTTTTATGGCATATAATTTTGTTGACCGGATTTTTTATCCTAGTTTGGATGACTGTCAGTTTGAATGACTAGATCTGCCTGGATTTTACCCTAATAGAATAACAAACTTTGCAGTACAAACCTTGTTTCACAGTCTGCCATGAATCATTTAAAACATAAAAGACAAAAGGTGTTGTTTTGCATTACAGAGTTGATGCACATGAATATGAAAAGACTGCTTTTCAGTAAGTTGAAAGCAACAAGAAATTTGATATTGTTGTCAGTTTTTGTAGCATTGCATCCAGGTAGTGGATCACTGGAAGATGTACTTAGCACAAGATGACTCTGGAACTGATTTTTAAAAAATCAGAAAGTGTATCATTTACATCCATTTATGCCAGCACTTGATGAACTATGGACTCCTGTTTCTGTAGGCTCCAATTTTGTTATCTCATGAAATGTACCCATTAGTCATAACTGGCAAGCTGTATGGGACAAGCCCTTGGAATATTATTTTAAGTGAATTTTTAAATGTGTTGAAGTTCACTAAAATGAATTGGACACCAGTTTGGTGTCACTTTGTGTCCCATTTTATTTAAAACATCACAGTTTTTCACTTGGATGGTAACTGTTCTGTTTTACAGGCAGCTGTTGAATGATTCCTAATGATCTAAAGCACTTCCATTTATTCATTGATTGGATTCTTTTGGTAGAACAGACAGAAACTGTNCCCTGTATTTGGCAAGAGATGTGGAGAACATGGTTTTTCATCTGGTTCTGTTCTTATACATTAATATATATATACTACCATGACATAGAAATTAATTTTTCCCTTTTTTAATTTACGTATATTATTTAACCTTTTTTTTTCTGGAGGGATATTCCAAGTCTTTTACTGTTTATGTCACTGTGTTCCTAGGGTGTTGGAAGGATCTGATTGCAAAATCTAGGTCAAGGTCAGGCAGTTTGGAGGAGAAGGAAGAGAGGATACAGAATCCTGCTCTGGAATGGAACCAGCTGCTACAGCGAGAGTGAGTTCATTGTCAGAAAAAGCACAGGTTTCAAAATAATTATAATGACAATTAGAACTGAATATTTCGTAGTCCATCAATTAAATGGATGCATGATCCATTGAGGAACTGAATAGATTAATTAATACATACATTAAAAAATAACAGTCCAAAAGCCAGATGGACAGTCGCTTGACTAATGCCCTGATATTAACTAAAATTTCAATAAGTCTAAGACTGAGATGGTTCTTTTTGTAAATTTTGTCATTTCAGTGAGGAATCTGAAGTAAAAGTGTTCCCATTGTGTGCCAGTTGTGACTTAAGAATAGTTCTTGCTCCAGCCATTGTAGAAACCAGTGTCACAAAGGTGAGAAAATCTGGCATTTTTGGTGATTTTTTCCTGTTTAAAATTTGAAAAAGGAACCCTAGATTACATAGCACGTGTATATCTCCTCAGAAAAAGACATTTGATTATTAATATGTCATTTTTAACACATCTGCTATTTTGTATGTTGATTTTATCAGTATTTATGCTTCATACTTTCATTTTTGTTTTTGTGCTTCTTTTCAGACTAGTCAAGGTTAATAATATGAAAAAAAAAAGTTTTAATCAAAAATCTTATTATTTTGTATATGTTTTTAGCTGATTTTCCCTTGCATTACGTGACTTTTTTCTTTTATAGTCCAATATAGTGTGCGGCTACTCTGCTGAAGTGAACGTGACCAGTGACATGGATTTCTACCTCAGCACCAATCAGGTGGGGCTTTTCTGGGACATTTTCACCACTAACATCACATCAGGCACAGTGAAACAACAATGCCAAAAAGATAGGGGGCATCATGCTACAAGAGAGGCCATATCCAAAGCTAAGTCATCCGAAATTTCAGAAACGCAAAGCACCATTTCTGATGGCACCACCCAAAGGGCCGAGACAACATCTTCACAGAGATTCAGCTCCCAAGAAAAAGGGGTGAATCCTTTGAAGGGTGTCACCCCCTTTGACATCTTGCTAACAGCAGGGCGAATCTCCTTTACTTGTTACTCTCACAGAGTAGCAAAGGACCACTGCAGGAAAGACTCAACTCTTGAAAACTTACTTTCACAGATAAAAGCAAGCGGTCACTCGGCCACTAGAAAGAGAAGTGACCTTGAGGAGCCCTTGGACAAAATGGAGGAAGACAAAAGTGCTGAGTCATTCTGTAGTTTTGAGCGAAGTGAAAGTGTGTATTACACCCCACAGAACAGTATGAGTGAAGCAATCCATGAGGAAAACTTGGACCAAGATAATGGTGGTCAAGCTGGACAGTCGGATGAAGGAGTTATTGATACGGTGCCATATTTCTATGCATATTTCTCTCAGCCTCACAGCGTGGCATCTTGTCATCCAGATAGACAGAAACTGGAGATGTCTTGTTACGATGTCACTCTAAAGGGAGCAAAGTCTGGGTATATTTTAGAAGGTAAGGACCATTTGGGTAACTTCACAATTACATAATCAGTTATTCTTACACTATAATTCCTGTTATTTGCTTTATCTCACAGCCAGCACTTTGAACAATAGGGTTTAGTTTCTTTTATTTTGCTTACATGCTATCCTATATTTTAATATGCTTGAGTGTGTTCACTCTTTTGTTTGAAGCTCCAATCATGGAATTAGTCAGTTACAGCTACTCATTGTCTACAGCTGTCATTCAAAAACAAATTATTAATATTAATAATCTTTATTAGTTCTAGCACAATTTACAAAGGCTATGACCAAACAGTTACATAGGTACCATATATTAATACTTAGTGTGTAAATTATATTGAAGCTGCACCTTGATATAATTACACTCTTGTATGTCGCATACAGTGGATGGCTCCTGTTGTGTTGGTGTTGAGTCAAAGACAAGAATATGCTCTTCTTATAATTGTGGTTTTGATAAGGTCAGCATTTTTTGTGTTGTAGACCCTTTCAAGATGTTGCCAGACCTTGGTGACTTTACTGCCCACTGGGTGGAGACACGTGCAGGGGAGACTGATCCCAAGACAGGCATACCTCCAAGTCTGTATACTTTTAAAGCAGAAAACTTTCTTACTGGAAAAGGTAAGCATATGGAAATATTTATTGTATCCTCAGATGAAGTTATGAAAAGTATTGACAGTTGAATAAGATAAACAGTCATTCTACAAAATTATTCTTGGTTCTTTCTTTGAAATATTCAGAAATATTGGCCATAAAAGGTGAGCAGCAAGTATTCAGTCTTATTTACTTATTCTCAAATTGAATATTATAAAATTATACTGTGCTTTATTCCAAAGCTGGACTTACTGTGAGTATAGAGAGGCCTCTGAAGCTGAACCTCAGCTTGGTGCTACTGGAGCAAGTTAAAGAGTTAGTGCAGGAGACACTGGAACAACTGAGACAAAGGGAGCAGACGACAGTTGCTGCGAGACAGTCTTCAGAAACTGTGCAGCAGACAACTGGAGAAAAGGAACTGACGACAAATCCAGATTGTGATCCAGCTGGTACCAAATTGGTCTTCTCTTGTGATTTTACTCTTACAGCAAAATATTTTCTTTTGATGTTGATATTTATTTCTATATAATACTGATATTTCATCAACATTCTGCCAAGTATGTTGTATGAAAAAAAATCCTTAAAAATGTGAAATATCCAAGAATGTCACTTATTTTATAATGGTCAGCAGCATTTGTAATTCAAGTAAATTGTATCTTTGTTTGCCTTACTTTAGAATCCACAGAGATGGCTCCGGGGTCAGTACCAGCCTATGTGAGATACCTCAGTGCTATCCGCAATATCAACATAGGCACAGTCCAGATGGTGGTTGCCATGACAACAGTGCCACACGAGGAGCATGCTGGGATACTCATGGCACTGTCACAGTTCCAGGCTGGTATCGAGCTGGAAGCTGACGAAGGTGGGTAAGATGTAGGAGAACAGTAAGGAGTGAGGAGCCTGAGGAGAGGGCGTGGTTGGCTCTTCCCCTGTCAGGCATTGAGAGGAATAATACTTTCTTGAGGAATAATACTTTCTTGATCATTATAAAAAAAAATTATTTTTGAGACATCTTAATTTGATATATACATATGAATTTGACTCACAAGTTAGTTCTTCTTTGTGAAACACATGTCATTATAAGGCATCAATATTGACCAAAATGCTGTACTTTATATATCCTACTTTATCTTGGACACTTCTATGCTGTGATATACATGTACACTATGGCCTTATTCAGAACAGAACATCCGAGGATCTTCTGATCCACAGATCAAATATGGCAGACCCTACTTGAAAGAAGAGCTGACTAATCTGCTGATGGTCTTGCCGCCTCCACACACACTATTAAACAGATAAAATCACGGCTCTGAGGTGTAATTAATAGACCCCTGCAAGGACATTGTGTGTGGAGGCAAGGAGACGTACCATCAACAGATTAGTTGGGTCTTCTTTCATGTAGGGTCCGCCATATTTGATCTGTGGATCAGAAGATCCTTGGATCTTCTATTCTGAATGGCTTCTATATGAACACTTACTACATCAACATGGCTTTAATATATGACCCCTAAAGAAACCATAAAAACTTGCAACAACCCCATCTTGTTTTGGGAGTACATCGACCTCTATTGCTTTTCTTGATGGTGAAAAATATATGAAATTAATAATGATTAGCACAATATTTCAGGTGCTCTCTCAGCAATCAGCATATCAGCCTGGCTTAGCAACATACTGGTCAAGACTCAGTACCATTCTACTGTCCGTCCACTCCTGGGACCACTGTCCACCAGCATGGACGCCCAGTTACAGTGGATAGTGCACAGTGGACCAAGATGGCTGCCACAGGTGTGTGCAAGCGTGGAGTGTGGACCCGTGCAGATTTGTGTCGGACAAGAGCATGCACTGTGCATGTTGACGTTGGCTAAACATTGGAGTATTTACAACAAGGTAGGCTAATTATTAGAATCTCTTGCCACTATGTATGACCATCCATGTGTGACATATTTTTATCTTATAAATTGTATTATATTATATATTGTACTATTGAAATGTCTTTTACTTTTTTGAGCCTCAGTAAAAGTTTGAAAAAGTGATGCTTGACTATGTATCATTGTCCAAGGATCATATCTTCATTTTTTTACACAAAACTTAATCATTGTTGCACTGTCCATGTCATTAAATGAGAAGATTGTTTCATACTATACATCTGTGTATTATACAGTTTGGATTGCAGCTATGATTACATCATATAAAAAGTGTTGGTCAAACTAATGCTGGGAGATAATCATTCCCAGATATCAGATTAAACTAAGATTTGTGGATTTCAGATTCTACAACAGGCAACTAGTGTCCACACAGAACCTGGATCAACAAGAGAGAAGAGGAGAGAGAAGACCAAGAAAACCAGGAAAAATGACCAGGGAGTCAGCTCAGTGGATGATCTGAGAACAGGGGCATTCCAATATGTCTTTACTAATGGTAAGCATGTCCTTGGTCCATTCGTGATTTACTTTCTTTCTTGTGTTTTTTAACTCTTCCTTCCTTACCTAGAACCTTAATCTGCTTCCCTTTTAATCTGTCTGCTTTCACCTTCTTTCTTTATTCCCCTTCCTTCCTCCCTCCCTCTCCCCCCCTCTCTCTCTCTCTCTCTCTCTCTCTCCCTCTCTCTCTCTCTCTCTCTCTCTCTCAATTTTGGATTTCAACTAATTTGACCAGGTTTACTGCCTGTTATATTTTTAGATAATGCCTTAAGAAATAGACATTTCTAGTTGGGTTCATAGATGAAAAAGAAAATTTAATATTTGTGAGTAACCATAAGAATAAAATCTTGAAAGAGTTATTGAATATTAAAGTTAGTTTAAAAAATCTGTATAATTAATAACTGTATTGTTCTGATTTGTTGTACTTAGATACCCCAGATGTCACCCCTGAGGCTGGAGAGATAGTGTTTGGGTCTGATGAAGAAGAGGACGTGGCCTTCATGGCCTGGTGTTATCCAGAGGCCAGACTACTGACCAAAGTCCATGTAGCACCTGTCCCCTTTAGTACCAGCCAGCTTAGCCCTACTGGCAAGGTTAGAGTGTGTGTGTGTGTGTGTGTGTGTGTGTGTGTGTGTGTTTTAATGCCATCAAACTTGATACTGCTAGCAGGGTTTGAGTGAAAGAAAAGGAGAGATGAGTGTGTGAATGTAACATACATTTCCTTTGGAATTCATGTTTTTTTTTTACTTTTGAGAGATTCTGATGCTATGTAACTCTTTTTGAAATGGTGCATTTATATTTCATTTTATTTTTGAGAGATTCTGATGCTGTTAAATTCTTATCGAGATGGAAACAAAGAACAAGGGAGACTGAGTTTTATCACTAGTTCAAAGATAACTGTATGTTGCCACAAGTGAAAAGAGAGATGGATAAGTTGTAGAAAGTTTTACATTGAACAAGCATCACTTGCTGTAAAAAAATCATAGTAGCAATAACTTTCATATATTCTTATATTTCTAGGTTGACTGTGTTCTGCAGTACTGGTGCATACTAAACAAAAACTACATTGACTACCAACAGTTCCAAATTACAGAGGGAAATGACTGCCAGGTGGAGCTGCCAGGTTTACAAGACAAGCCCACAGTAGCTCAAGTCTGGAGAGTCCTTATCTATCATGGAGACAGGGAGGAAAGGTTAACAAAACTTAACTGATATATTTGTTAACTATTTTATGAATTTATATTTAATGTATTTATATTAGAGCCTGCGTGTGTTTGTTAGTTTTCTACTAAAAGATGCTGCAATGTGTGATTTTGTGTGTATGTTCTGTGTAATTTTGCTCAATAAATCAAAGAATGAAAATTAGACAACCAGTACATGGGTCAGGTGTTATTGTTTATACTTGATGCTGATGAAAATCCTGAGGAGTTTAATATATGTTTGACTCGAGGATAGGGTCCGAGTAGTATTACCATATTTTAGAAGGCATTCCTGAAGGCAGTGTCAAGATATTTGCACTATGACATTAGAAGTTAAACTTGAGTTTAATAAAAGAGCTAGATTTCTAGGCAAAACTTATGATTTTAGCATAAGGCATGAGGTTTGACCTGAGTTTGACTTTTTTTTTTTTTTTTTTGTCAGATTTAGAATTAGAATATCTTGATTTCAGCAAAGTTCATGAGGTACCTTATACTTGAGAGTACTATCAGCTACAGCTAGAAGCAAAAAATATTGATTTTAGCAAAATGTTTGAGGTTATACCTTGGAGTTATTTTATAACTAAAAATTGTGAAATAAAACTTATATTTTATTAATATATAACTAATCAGTAGATACTATTCCTGAAACAGATCCCAGTCTGAGAGCCCTGACCCAGTTGTGTCACCAATGACACTAGCAGCCTCTATGAGGGTGGACTCCTGTATTTTACCAGCACTGGTCCCAGCTGTGAGGTTTCAGTGTACTGCCTCGGTACTAGTGATGAGAATGAGTAACCACTTCCAACATCTTGGCAAAGGTAGGGTCCCTCCATATACTAACTATTCTATTTAGTCAAAGAGATGGATAATATTAAGAAAATTAAAAATTTTAATAATGCTTATTATGAAATTGGCAAAGCTATGGGAACTATTAATATCTTGGCAAATGTGCTTTTATTTTAATCACAGATATGGATAATATTTTTAAAAAATCAAATATTTTAACAAAAATGATAATGGAATGGCAAAATTATGGGAGCAACTACTAATATCAGGACAAAGGAGGTAATTTAGTTTTAGGTACAGAGATGGATAATATGAAGAAAATCAAAAAGTTTAGCAAAATTGATAATGAAATTGGCAAAGCTATGGGAACTACTAACAATGTTTTAAACTAAGAGGGACAAATGAAGAAAAAACAACCTTTTGATCTGTATCAAAAATAAGTTAAGTTAAAAGTAACACATTTTTTTTAGCATAGAGAAATAGCATTTGGCTAGAATTAACAATGTTAGCATGAAAAACCAATTCAACCATTTTGGAAAATATATTGTCATTATTGGACTAAATTACCTTATTTTATCCCATACTGATATAAAAATGTAGATTTTTTTCACCCACAGCAACTCCCAGCAAGCTCTGTCCATTTTATCTGGACAATTGTAGCCCCTCGGACCAAGATGTCTTAACCATTACTGTAGATGACCCAAGCTTTGACATGTCCATGTGGATGGGTGAAGCTCTACAGACCACTGGACAGGTGAGAGTTATGGTCACAAGGGCAGTTAAAGGATAGAAGTACTCAGTTGTTTTGAAGACCGGTTTTGATTAATGTAAACCGAAAAAATTGAAACAACTTTTTAGATATAATTTTACATATGGCTGATTTTTTATTGAAAAATTCTTATTTGGAATGTTATATGAAAGAATGGCAAACTTAAAATTATCATTATGATATTGTCTGAACAATTACTGTTATGTTTTTTCTGCCAAGTACCAAGCATTTGTCAATGGGAAATTCTGCCAGTGCTACACAACCACCCTGAGTTTAACATGCTATTCAAATTAAATAACTCTGTTATTTCTGAAAAATATATAAGTATTCCAGCACTCCTTGGAACTCAGGGTGGAATATAATAATTGTGTCATAATTACAGGTGACTGGCATTGGTCAGTGTGATATTGTGGAATACAGAAATCTGACCACCCAAACCTTAGTGGACCCTGTGGCTGCTAGTGCTAGCATACAGTATACCCTGGAGACGGAGGTGAGAAAGATGGATAAGAGAGCTGACACATTCACATAAATCAAAAGTTTCATTGCTCTTTGGCATGTTGACATGCAATTATCATGAGCAATAAAATTTTTCCCTGGAGATTTAAGTTTGTAAACTTTTGATAAATGTATTAACAGAATAGTCATGGTAGTTATAGCTTTTATTCTGCAACTGCACAAAACTTGTTTGCATTGTCTTTAAGAAATATATAACTGGGTCAATAAAAACACCCTGGGAATCATGGCTAAATATGTGTCTTTTCTAACTATTTCAGTCCACTTTAGAATGTGATGTGAAAATAGACCCTGTGTATTTACACATAGGACAGAGTACAGTTCACACCATGGGAGTCATGGCTCAGACCTGGGCACAGTTGCAGCAGACGGCCCAAGTCGAGAAAGTGATAGTGAATTATTACATGATATGTAACGATACTTTAAGCACTATCAGGTATTTCCAGCTATTTTGTATAATTACAACTACGACAAAAAAACAACTCATTGTTCTTGAACCAACAATATTTCTACTTCATGTTGTTTCTTTTTTTTTTTTTTTTCAATTATTACATCTTTGAGAAAAATGCAAAATGTCCTCATATCTACACATATTTCCTTGAAGTTTTGACACGGATTTCTGACAGTGGACATAAGGTGAAAGTTCAGAAAAGGTGGCCAAAATTTGTAAGAAGTTGTGGCAATAAATTGCCACTTTTGTCTCCATACTGAGCGAACACTTTGAATATGGATGACTTGATGAATGCCTTTTTTTTCTTGGCAATTTTAGGTTTGGCCAAGTTGGTTCTGATGAAAATATTTCTCTACAGAGCAGAGAAATGCATGCATACAGTTGGAGAAGCCACAAGAAACAACAGGTAGTGGTTTCTTAAAAAAAGGATTTTGTAGTTGAAATAAAAAAGATAAGGCTGTAAGATTCCAGCAGAGATTTTTATTAGCCATGTTATGCTCTCAGAGCTCTGATCATAAAACTTAATAATCATATCACAAAGTGTTTTGGTCACCTCATGGCTAGGTCCAACCCTAAGCAGGGATAATTGACTGACACCAAAGGCAAAGGTCAATTATCCCAGCTTTGGGAGGGAGCCTAGCGAAGAGGAGACCTCAGCCAAAGTCAAAATTGTACATAAGTTATGATCTGAGATTTAACTTCAATTATTTTTCCTCATTAAATTCCAGGTTCTCCAGGTGTGTCTGGAGGGTAAGAACATGAAGTGGTGTGATCCTTTTGAAATCGAGAAACCTGGCACCGTTATCAGGACCATTGACCACAAAGGTCACAAGGTCACCTTCCTCATCAAGGTCAAGGTCATATCTGGGCTTCAGAGACAGGTTGGTTGTTTATTACATGCTATTTGGTCATCATTTGGTTTATCAAATTACCTTCAGTATTTTCAGTGATGATTTAGGGGTTGTTAAGGTAAAACACTTAAAGATATAATATATACACATTTTTAATGGGCCAAGGTCATTTTTATGTCTGAATGCCCTTAGAGCTCCATATATTTCTTAATTCATACCTCAACTTGATATGGGGTTTCCCTTCTGAAATGCCAGGGAGACATGGTAGTCTAAATGAATCATGGTATTTTATCAAAAATGGTACAAAACAGTGACTCCAGGTGCTCGTTACATAATAAGTCAGAATAATTCCTCTCTGTTGACTGGCTGAAGTCACTGCAGAGATGCTGCAGTGTTGTCAATTGAACTAAATTGCCCATCCAGTAATAGATGTTTTAAAGAACTTAATTTAGTTTTCCCTACATTCATCATGTTTGTTGCACTGTAGAAAAGTGGAAAGGGATTTCTGCCACTGTTACAATTAAAATTAATTTCATACTCTCATTCAAACCCTTACGAAAATTTCCTATAGGATTTCCTATAAGATTTCCTAAAGGATCCTATAAGATTTCCTATAGGATATCCTATAGGATCCTATAGGAAATTGTCCCTTTTTCCTATAGGATCCTATAGGAAATCTTATAGGATCCTATAGGAATTACTAAAGGATCCTATAGGAATTCCTATAGGATCCTATAGGAAATCTTATAGGATCCTATAGGAAATCTTATAGGAAATCTTATAGGAACCTATAGAAATTCATATTAACTGCTTTGAATATTTTTACAGCTTTTTATATATTGTTGAATCTTTGGCAAAATTGGTACTAGGCACTGGTCCCTCAAAACAAAAGAGAATATCATGTTTACATTCTTTATTCAATATGTATAAATGTATGTACATATTCCACAGTATGGTATGCAACCAGCTTACTAGAGAACTGTTTTATAGATTTTTGCAAATTTAATGGTGTTGCTACTGCTTTTGAATTATAAGTTCTATAAGTTATCACAAGGATCAAATATNATCCTATAGGAAATTTTCATAAGGGAATAGCTCAGAAAGGCTTGGTTCCTGTTCCAAAATAAATTCAGTTACTTTCCCCAAGCGCAGTTTTCCTTCATCAGATTTGATGTACCTTAAGAATTTCTGAACATGAGGGTCTTGGCGATTTTGTAGAGCTCTTTGCACAAAGTAGTCTGCTGCATGACTTTCAACTATTGTTCTTTCATAAAAAGGTTCATAATATTTACATTTGTATCTCCCCCACTGCCCCTCTTCTTCACCAGATGATAAAGTAGGTAAAATTGGTTTAACTCGTACTTCTTGAGTTATCAGACCTGCACTGAAGAGTCTTTCATCATCAATCTCTTCAGTGCTGAAAACAAACTTGTCTTCAAGAACACTGTCATAAAACATCTTTTGAAGTTTTGGGAGGATCTCTTTTTCCACCTCTTCCTTTGCTTTGCTTGGATCAGGTTGGGCTTCACAGTAACGCAACAAACTATATTCACGCACTGCAGAAATGAGTTTAGCTTTGGTTGTTGGTACATGGATTTCTTCACCATTTTGCCACAGAAGGCAAGTGTATAACAAAGTTAGTGGTGTGATCTTCTCAGCCATGGAGTTTGCTTCAAGGAAGTTGAGAAATTTGCATGCAGCTTCTCTTGACTCATTCTCATCTTCATCCATTGTGAATTTATTTTCCCAGTGCCCATATTCAAATTCAATAGCAGTTGCTGGAATAGAAAAGTATTTACATGTTAGTTCTTGCACATGCTTTCTGCTCATTGGAGCAATTTCAGCATGAACATCCATCTTTGTTTTATCAGCGAGATACTCAGCCTTCCAGTTGCGAGTGGTAGTGATGACAGTCATGTCTCTCATTTTGCTGTCTTGTATGATACCTTC